GCCCTTATGGGGCGTGGCCTGGTCAGGAACTTCATGAGCCGCACTTGGAGTTGCTTCTTGCGAGTGTTCTCATACTTGTGTTTTTGACTAATTAAACAGCTGAAAGCACATTGTCGACAGTGTCTCTCCTTGCCCACAGGTGTGGGCATTACAGGAACAGTTTGGTTACAAAATAACAATAAGCGGGGGCACTCGCAAGTCAAGATAGCACCGTATTCCATTTCCTTACATGCAGTCCATTTAACCACGGAAGTCTCTCTTAATTAAAAATGCATCGGCTCATTTTGAATTCAGTATGAAACTTTCACAGTGTGTAAAAATTCAATCAGCCGCTTGGCTTAGACAGGTGGAAAGCGAGGCGGACTAAGTGGTTACCATCAAAGCACAACAGGTATGAAGAGCACCAACACGCAGCCGTTGTGTCGACTTAAGTTGCACAAATAAAATGATTTAAATGCATGAAAACTCAAAAGGAATGCTTCTGCCGGTACCGCTTAAGCTGTGCATTGCTCTCCACTCATAAATATGGAAGAGCTTTTGTTTTGTGCCTCCACTGCTCCGCCGCCACCGCCACAAGTACTCCTCCATGCTCCGTGCAATCAAAGTGAACATAAAAAGGTCCACTGCATGAATAAGTCACCAGCGTGCACTCACGGTCAATGGTGAACATTTCGAATAGAGCGCCGGGTGCGAGCACGGTGGCTGCAGCAGCCCTACATACTTGCCCTAATTACTCCACAAAACAAACTGCCGAGGCACAGAGGAAGCTGAGAAAATGTTCAACTGGTTTTCATGACACTCGCATTCTTATGTTAATAAGCTAGCTGCATGCCACGGATGCTTGCTCTACTGACTGAATCGCTCCCAGCGGCCTATCACCTGTTCGCTCGACAGACTCCAGAGGGAGAAGACGCCCCCCACCCCCCACCCAAGTTGGACGTCACGTTAAGTCCGTCGACGGGCACACCAGAGTCTTCTTGTGCTCCGCCCTTTTGGTGGATGGAATGAAAATCTGAAAAGGGTGTTTTTGCATAATCGTGCTGAGAAATAAGCAAATCATGTTGCTTGGAGAAAGTATTCATACACAGCGGTGCCAATACACAGTACAGGGCCACACAGATGGGCTGGAATGTTTTTTTTTTATTTATTTTTTTTTGGGTAGCGGAACATATAGGCACGCCATCCTCAGTTTATGCTAGCGTGCCCAACGCGGATGGATCCACTGCATCATCGTTCTCTCCCTCGCCAGAGTGAAACTCTTTTGCGGTGCAATGATTAACCGATTACTCAACAACTATCGACTAGCAAATAAAATACCGTTTTTTTTTTTTTTTTTTTTGGTAATTGTCCAAATCATCTGAATTTCAGCTTGTCAACCGTAAATATTCTCAGATTTCTGCAGTATGACCTGAAAGTACACTGATGTTCGTTTTGGGTCAAAAATTAAAATAAAATGTAAAATTTGGAAAACAATGATGAACATTTTCCATATTTTGCACCATGTTAAGGACCAAACCAGTAAGCGAATCATCATTAATTTACATTTGTGCATTTCTTGGCACAATTTGAAATTGTTACTTAGAGCACAACAATTCTTTCAGTGATATACTTACTGCAATTTGGACATTTATTGAACGCCGGGAAAACAATCACACAAAAGCTGCTGTCGGCCACAGTTCACACAGACTCTCACAGGTGGTCTCGCCCACATCCTAACAACCCCTACCTTGTAAAGGCACATGCATTTGCAAACAATATGTAAAGTACTTTCTGAACAATTTATGCTTGAAATTAGTTTTTGCGTTCAAATGTTATTTAACAATCCATTAAGTGTTTTGATGAGTTTAAATGTGTTGAAATGTGAGAAGGGTAAAATTTCATTTTTTAGATTGGTTTTTCAACGGTCTTTCAACAGTATATATCAGATTTTCACCTAGTTTCACTGTATCTTGTTGAATAACTAGCCGTTACACCATTGCAAATAGCAATCCGGACCTTTGTCAGCATCACCTGAAACTTTACCATCCTGCTTTCTCAGGGGTGAAAGTTCACGAGTTGGATATCGTGATGTTGTTTGCTGTCAAGCCGGCCACCTGTCAGCTGGTGGCCAACACTACCTTCTCTTTACACCTACTACACTTGAGCAACATCTTAATCCGTTACTGAACGAAATTTGCACAGATCGGGTGTCTTTTATCAACAAGTTCGAAAGTAGGCGAGGGTTTCCTACAGATGTCATGGGAACGAACGTACAGTATGTGAAATGGTTTGCTCAGTGAATGACTCACAGTTGAATGTTGGGGGGGGGGATAA